CTGGGTGTTATGCACAAACAATGAATCATGGAACACTGCATCAAAAACTAATGATGTAATGTATGGTGGTTAACATAACAATAAAAAAAAAAGTGTTCTAAACTCAGGTAAGAGTAGGCCCTTTTCTACACACACTTTAAAGTATGCATTTTACAAAACATTTGGTTTCTATAGCTGTTTATAAAAATAATTCAGGCTTGGAGTGAGTTTGTTCTGATTCACAAGGTTTTTGAATAGAATTTATGATGTGCATACTGTACTAATACAGTAGCATAGGTATGTAATTTATAAATGCATACATATATATATAGATAGATATATATTGGTGTTTTAGAGGCAACCAAAGGTACAATAGGGTCAGAATAGGCATCCTGGGAAATTCTGGAGCCCGATAGATTCTTGAGCAGATTTACATTCACATCCACAAGGAGTCATCTGCAATTTTTATAAAAAAGATTTATTTATTTGAAAGAGAGAGCACGAGAGAGGCAGAGGGAGAGGGAGAGAGAATCAGACTCCATGCTGAGTGTGGAGCCCAAGGCAGAACTCGATCTTACAATGCTGAGACCACAACCTGAGCTGAAACCAAGAATCAGACCCTTAGCCAGCTGTGCCACCCAGACGCCCCTGCAATTTTTAAAAATGTTTGGGAAGCCTTTCTTTGTCAGTAGTAGTAGAAAAGTCAGTGGTAGCTGGTTTTATTTAATATTTTGCTGGTAAATTTCTATATAATCTCATATGGCCCTTATAAGAGTAGATAGTGTATTTTGTGCTTTATATGAAGTTCTACTTAAGGAATTGCCAAAATAAAATTAAATTGAGATACATACATGCACATTCTACATACCTTATAAATGTATTTTCAATGATGGAATATATTCTTGCCATTGGTGATAATTTATTGCTTGGGCTATTTTGATTTAAATATCTATTAAAGATCTACTTAAAAAACTGAAATTTATGTTCATCTGCTTTATTTTATTTAAGTAGCTAACACATGCAATGAAATTTAAATTCATTATTACTATATGGTTTTTAGGTGCCTTCTGTTTATAAAATATTCCTGAAAAGTAATGTGCTTTCAGGAATATATTGCCTTTATATTGATATATTTAGGATAAAATTTCTAAATTTTATAAATTTTTTACAGGTTACAGAATTATGTATTCTTATAGATTTTAGATTATCCAAGTCTCTAAGCTTATATGACAAGAAAACTTTTAATCTCTTTAACAGCCTTAATATTAAGTATGATGTTTATAGGATTTCTAACAATTTTTATAAAAAACTTATAATTAATGAAAATATTAAATTCAATTTTTTCTAGATATCTTGTGGTCACTCCTCCAGACCCATCTATCCCCCTAACTAGCCCACTCACACTCGTATCTTCTGTTTTGTGATCCATGAGGCTGACTGATAATGGATTGCATCAAAGATATCTTTTGTAATCCGTCTTCTTGCTGGTTCAACCACTGGGAATTAGGGGCAAGAGATCATGAAAGATAATGGAGAAGAGTGAGGGTGGGATTTTATACCCTTGGCTACTTTCCTTTCTACTTGGTCACCTCACCCCCCCCACAGAATGACAGCAACGGGCACCCAACATGCAGCCAATAATCTAACAATGTCTTTTCATTTTCCTATCAAAAAAGATAATCAGAAATAAGTTTTTCATCAGAAATTCGGTGTTACATGAACTTATAAATTATAAAATTAGATATGTACTGCTGTATTTCCTTAAAAAATAAGAGTATGTGTATTTATGACACCCAAGCTAAAGTAATGACTCAGATTTCCCTGGTACTCTCATTGTACCTGCTTCTTTAGATTCTCTGTCTTTTCCTTACCCTACATTCATGTCTCCATGGGTACTTCCCAATGAGTGATTACCTAATGGAAGAGAAAAAAATCAAAGACCGGTTTATGTATGGATTTTAATGGTATGTTGACATAATTTGGGGAGCTACTGTTTTACAATCTCAGTATGGGAAGGGTGAAGACAGATTACCTTGAAGGAGAAATGTCCTGGGATACAAATGGGAAGTAGCAAAAAAGATGGCATAATGGGGGTTGGAAAGAACATGAATGTTAAGACTGGTGAAAGGAAGTCTAGGATAGTATTCTGGGGATTGACCTTTCAGAGAGGATAGAGTGTGAAGATAACTGTGTCCTGTAGAGATGCTCACAAGTTGCTTCTAATGTGGAAGAAGATCTCAGCAATAACACAATATTAAGTCTTCTAAGTTTGTTTTGCATTGTTTAGTCATGTGAATTAATGTTATTTACTACAATAATGCTTTGTAACAAATCGCCTTGGAACTCAGTGGCTTACAACAATAAGCAATTTTTAATATAAACTATCCTATTTGTAGTAATTTTAAGTTGATTTTTTTGTGTTTTGATATATAATTGTATCAACAAAATAGTGTTTATTTTTTCCTTTCTGACATTTATAACTATCTCATTGTTTTACTTCTAGATGATTTTAGAAGGCCTCTACTCTTGCAGTTTCTCTCATTTTGTAATTCATAGAGTGGTTATACATAACCCAGTTTATACATTGATTGTAATAGGCAGGATTTGTACTAAAACAGTTATTAGCTTATAAAACATATATTTTAATCCATTTGATAATAAATGATGAAAGCAGTATATTTTTTAATGCAATACTAAGATAACTTAAATTTAGTAAGCTTCACAGATAAGTAATTTCTGAATCTAAAGTATTTCATATGTCTCTATTATCAAATAAAGGTTTCTTTCTGGAGTTCTTGTTTTAAAATCAGATTTTCTTTTGTTATTATTGTATGTCTAGAACATGAGGTCTATTTGAGAGATATTGTAGAATTACGATGGCATCTTGAAGATAAAGCTTATCAACTAAAACATTTTGAGGAACAAAAGGCAAAATTAGAAGAAGCTAATGCAAAGCTTCAAGCAGACATAGACTACATGAATAAACTTGGTCCTTTAATTAACTCAAAACAGAACCAAGAACTTGAAGCTCTGAAAGAATTTTATACAAAAAAATTTGAGGTAAATAAATAAATGAATAGATATGCATTTTATAGATTGTTACTTAGTTATAAAAATATTTCAGCTATTAAAAATTAACATCTTTAAATGTTTCATTTTCACTAAAAATTGACCTGCTATTTATTTCCCAAAGGAACTATTAAACTACACATAATACTGTCAATTGATATTCATTTAAACCGTGTTATCTTCCCTTTTATACTTAGGGGTATTAATAATATTTAGTCTACCTACTAATACAATTTTGGAGATTTAAAAAAACATGATAATTTTGGAAGTTGTAAGTCAAGCTGGGAGAGAATGCAAGCAGAATATATCAGTCATTTTCATTGTTGATGATAATAAACTGTAAAATCTTTTCAATGATTAACATTTAACTCTCCTATTGTGGGATTGTATTATAGAAAAATAAATTATTTATACCTGCCACTAAATGAGCAAATTTAATTCATATTTATTTTTTATTATTTCAAAGTAAATAGAGTTGTTAAATGTGTCCTGTATTCTCAACAGTACCATTTTCCCCCATCACTCTCCAAAGACAACCTTATCAGGAAAATCTGTTTCTAGGTGAAATTTGTATATTTTTATACATACATACCTTTAACCACAGTGCATGGTTTCATTATTCTTCAAATAGTATCAAACATTGTATAAGTTCCTGCAGGTTGTTTTTTAATCTGACATTGTTTTAGAGGTCAAGCTACTATTCATTCGTTTTACTTGCTGTTTTGGATTTGACACCAAAAGCAAAGCTGACAAAAGCAAAAATAAACAAGTGGGGATACATCAACCTAAAAGCTTCTACATGACAAGAGGAACCATCAACAAAATGAAAAGACAATCTACTGAATGGGAGAAAATATTTGCAAATCATATATCTGATAAGGGGTTAATATCCAAAATAAAGGACTTCATACAACTCAACACCAAAATAAGACAATGATTTAAAAATGGGCGGAAGATCTGAATAGATATTTTTCCAAAGAAGACATACAGATAACCAACAAGTACATGAAAAGATTCTCAACATCACTATTCATCAGGGAAATGCAAATCAAAACCACAGAGCGAGATCATCTCATACTTGTCAGAATGGCTATTATCAAAAAGACAAGAAGTAACAAGTGTTGGCAAAGATGTGGAAAAAGGGAACCTTTGCATACTGTTGCTGGGAATGTAAATTGGTGCAACCACTGTGGAAAACAGTATGGAGGTTTCTCAGAAATTAAAATGGAACTGTCATATGACTCAGCAATTCCACTTCTGGGTATTTATTAGGAGAAAAAATACAAATTGAAAAGTTGTGTGCACCCCCATGTTCATTGATGCATTATTTACCATAGCCAAGATATTGAAACAACCTAAGTGTCCATCAATGGATGAATGGATAAAGAAGATGTGGTGTGTGTGTGTGTGTGTGTGTGTAATGGAATATTACTCAGCCTAAAAGAAGAATGAAATCTTTCCATTTGCAACAACAGGGATGTACCTTGAGGGCATTATGTTAAGTGAAGTAAGTCAGACAGAGGAAGACAAATACCATATGATCTCACTTATATGTAGAATCAAAAGAAAAACAAAACAAAACAAAAAAACAATTTCATGGATACAGAGAACAGATTGGTGATTGCCCGATGCAGGGGTTAGAAGATGAATGAAAAGGGAGTCAAAAAGTACAAACTTCTAGTTATAAAATACATAAGTCATGGGGATTTAATGTACAGTGTGGTGACCATAGTTAATACTATTGTATTACATACTTGAAAGTTGCTAAGAAAGTACATCTTAAAAGTTATCATCACAAGAAAAAAATTCTAGCTATGTATGGCAATGGATGTTAACTAGACTTACTGTGGTGATCATTTCACAGTATACAGAAATATTGAATCATTATGTTTTATACCTGAAACTATTGTATATTAATTATAGCTCAATAAAAAAATTTAAAACTTTTATGCATCAAAGGACACTATCAATATCTGATGAAAGGTTAATATCCAAAATATGTCAAGAACTTACATAACACCAAAAAAGTAATACAATTAAAAGATGGACAGAGGACCTGAAAGACATCTTTCCAAAGAAGACACACAGATGGGCAACAGATACATGAAAAGATGCTTAACATTTCTAATCAGGGAAGTATAAATCAAAACCATACTGAGATCACCTTGCACCTTTCAGAATAACTAGAATCAAAGAGACAAAAAGTAGCAAGTGTTGGCAAGGATATGGAAAAAAAGGATATGCACTGTTGTGGGAATGTAAATTGGTGCAGCCACAGTGGAAAACAGTATGAAGGTTCCTCAAAAAGTTAAAAATAGAAATACCATATGATCTAGTAATTCCACTACTGGGGATTTACCCAAATAAAACAAAAACATTAATTCGAAAGATATATGTACCCCTTTCTTATTGTAGCATTATTTACAACAACCAAGATATGGAAACAACCTCAGTGTCCATCGATAGGTGAATGGATAAAGAAGATGTGGTATACATATATACAATAGAATATTACTTAGCCATAAAATACGACAAAATCTTGCCATTTGTGCCAACATGGATGGACCTCTAGAGGATATAATGCTAAGTGAAAAAATCAATCAGAGAAAGACAAATATTGTATGATTTCATTGTGTGGAATCTGAAAAACAAAAACTAGAAATAGACCTATAAATACAGAGAACAAAGTGATGGCTGCCAGAGGGGAGGGAGTGGAAGGATAGGTAAATGGATAAAGAGGAACGGGAGGCACAGGCTTCCAGTTACGGAATAAATAAGTCAATAGGATAAGAGGTACAGCATAGTAGGGGCGCCTGGATGGCCCAGTCAGTTAAGTGTCTGACTCTTGGTTTTGGCTCTGGTGGTGATCTCAGGGTCGTGAGATTGAGCCCTGTGTCAATCTCCATGCTCAGTGCAGAGTCTGCTTCAGATTCTCCCTTCCTCCCTCTGCCCATCCCATGCTTTCTCTCTCTCTCTCTTTCTCAGTTAAATAAATAAATCCTTAAGGAAAAAAAAAGGTACAGCATAGGAAATATAGTCAATGATACTGTAATAGCGTTGTATGGTGACAAATGGTAGCTACACTTGTGGTGAGCACAGCATAATGTATGGATTTGTTGAATCACTATGTTGTACTCCTGAAACTAATTTAACATTGTGTGTCAACTGTATGTCAATGAAAAAAAGTAAAAAAGAAGTACACTATCAGAAAAGTAAAAAAAAACAAAAAACTATAGAATGAGAGAAAATATTGCAAATTACACTTGAGAAGGGTATAGTACCTAGAATATATAAAGAACTTTCAAATTCCACAACCCAAGACAAACAACCAAATTAAAAATGGGCAAAGGACTTGAATAGTTGTATCTCCAAAGACATACAAATGGGCAGCAAACATTTGAAAAGATAGATGCTCAACATCATTAGTCATTAGGGAAATGCAAACCAAAACCACAATGAGATACCACTCACAGCCATTAGGATGGGAATAAATATAACACAGAAAATAACAAGTTTTAGTGTCTATGTGGAAAAATTGGAACTGTGGTACTTTGCTGGTAGAAATGTAAAATGGTTGCAGATGCTGTGGAAGAGACTCTGGCATTTCCTCAAAAAGTTTAACACAAAATACCATATGCTCTAGCAATTATACTCTGAGGTATATACTCCAAAGAATTGAAAACTGATAATAAAAAAAAAAAAACAAAAGGAAAAGTTGTACATAAATGTTCATAGCAGCAATGTTTGTATTAGCCCAAGGTGGAAACAACCCCATGTCTATCACCTGATTAATGACTAAATAAAATATGATATATCTATACCATTGAAAGAAATTTTTAAAAAAATGAAGTACTGTTAGATGTCACAACACAAATCAACTTTTTTTTTTAAAGATTTATTTATTTATTTATTTGAGAGAGAGAGAATGAGAGATAGAGAGCACGAGAGGGAAGAGGGTCAGAGGGAGAAGCAGACTCCCCGCTGAGCAGGGAGCCTGATGTGGGACTCGATCCCGGGACTCCAGGATCATGACCTGAGCCAAAGGCAGTCGCTTAACCAACTGAGCCACCCAGGTGCCCAACACAAATCAACTTTGAGGCATTATGCTAAATAAAGAAGCCAAACACAAAAGATCACATCCTGTATGGTTTCATTTATGTGAAATATCCAGGATAGATAAATCCATAAAACAAAACAGATTAGTGATTGCTAGGGGCCAGGGGATGTGTAATGTAGTGTTTTATTTATAGTCCCTTTATCATATAACTTTATTTTATTTTATTCTGCTGTCTTGACTCAGTTTCGGGGTCCTGGCTAGAGATCTGCTAAAATAACTAATTGCTTAAAGGACTCAAGGCCTCTAGTCAGTGTGCTTGAGCCCTACTACATAACTTGCAAATTGCAGATACCTACAAATCAAGTTCCAAGGCTCTATGTTGCCTCCAAATTCTGCAAGCAGCCCAGCCTCATAACACCGCAGAGCCACAAGAGTATTATGCACATCAATTGGAGTGAGTATCAATGGGGGAAGTATATACCAGTGCCACACGGACCCAACTCAAGAGCTTGCCTTGGAGACGAATTTGTCTCATATGATGTAACCTGGTTCCCAACATGGAGACCACCACCCCAGCAATGCCTACACGTTACCTTTTCTAAAGGCGCTGACAAATTGGACATGGGATACTTGATATTAGGAATTCTGTTATGTTTCCTGACCTCTTGTTTGCTTAGCTCATCATTCTGGTGCGCTCCTTGCTGTCTACTAAAATGTATACCCCTACATCCCTGTGCCTAAAGGATAATCTTGTAGAGGCTACTACTACCTGTGCTATTCGAAAAATTAGTGAACATTATTGCTTTTTTCAGGAAGCAATTGCTTTATTTCAGTCCACCAATTGACCCACTGGGGAGGGGACTGTTCACTTCCTACTGCCTTCTACTCCCCTCCCTCTAACTTTCCAGCAGGACATCCAGACTACAACTATTTCTTCTCCATAGGTTGACAGAGAAGGGAGAAATGGAGAGGGAAGGGAGAATGTTTATGATATTTGATAATTAATAAAAACAATAAAAATGGAGTATTTTGGACCCTTTCATTAAGGTAATAATGGTTATTCCTGAGAGGGTTATAGTTGATTTCATTTATTTTTTCATCTGTGTTTTCTGATTTTTCTACCATAAAGTATTATTTCAACAATAAAAACAATAAAAAGTAGTAATTCTTTTGTAGGTTAAAAAATAATTATTTTGCTCATGTCACCTGTAATATTGAACTTATTTTCTTCAATAACTTCTATACATCCCTAGTATTAATGCTTTTCAGACTAGTGGAAACCTAAAACTTTACTGTGCTAAACAGATTAATATGGGAAGAAAATCAATGTAAAGAACTTTTCCTTAGATCAAAACTACTCTAAGTCCTTTCTCTGATTTTTCTCTTGCCTGATTCTTTTAGTTACCCATTAAGTGCGTGTATTAACAAAAATATTTTTCATTTCTAGGTAATGGAGTTATACAAACAAATTCATGAAGAACTTGAAGAAGCTATAGAAAATGTTGAAAATGCCAAATTGAATGCTAAACAAATTAGACAAGACATGGAGCGAGACATTCATAGTGATGAAACAAGCATAGAAGCCTACAAGTAAGAATTTTTCACTAATGCTGCTTATAGCATTTAGAACAAAAATATTGATTAAAATGTAACTTATATTCCTGTATAAAGAATTCAGATAATGAGAAAGGAAAGAATCTAAATCACCCATATTTATCTTATCACCAACTTTATATATAAATTAAGATATATGTCTTTTACATATATAATATACATATGTATAGATTCTTAAGGTACTATTTTTCTGTCATTTTATTTTATTTATAGGTTTTTTTAAATTTTAATTCCAGTGTTGTCAACCTACAGTGTTATATTATTTTCAGGTGTACAGTATAGTGATTTAACAATTCTGTACATTACTTAGTGCTCATCATGATAAATGTCCTCTTTAATCCCCATCACCTATTTCACCCATCCACCCTCCCATATTCCCTCTGGTAACCATTAGTTTGTTCTCTGTAGTTAAGAGTCTATGTCTTGATTTTTCTGTCTCTTTTTTTCCCCTTTGCTCACTTGTTTTATTTCTTAAATTCCACATATTAGTGAAATCATATGTTATTTGTCTTTCTCTGACTGACTTATTTTGCTTAGCATGATACGCTCTAGCTCCAGCCATGTTGTTGCAAATGGCAAGATTTCATTCCCTTTTATGCCTGAATAATATTCCCTTGTATATATACACCACATCTTCTTCATCCATCGATATATCAATGGACAATTGGGCTGCTTCCATAATTTGGCTATTTTGAATATTGTTGCAATAAACATAGGGGCGCATGTATCCCTTTGAATTAGTGTTTTTGTATTTTGGGGGTAAATAACCCAGTAGTACAATTACTGGATCATAGGATAGTTCTATTTTTAACTTTTTGAGGAATTTTCCACTATTTTCCACAGTGGCTTCACCAGTTTGCTTTCCCACCAACAGTGCACGAAGGTTCCTTTTTCTCCATATCCTCGCCAACACCTGTTGTTTCTTGTGTTTTTTATTTTAGCCATTCTGACAGGTGTGAGGTGATATCTCATTGTAGTTTTGATTTTAATTTCCCTGATGATGAGGCATGTTGAACATATTTTCATGTATCTGTTGGCCACCTGTATGTCTTCTTTGGAAAAATGTCTGTTCATGTCTTCTGCCCATTTTTTAATTGGATTATTTGTTTTTTGGGTGTTGAGTTCTGTCAGTTCTTCATGTATTTTTCATATTAACCCTTTATCAGATATGTCATTTGCAAACATCTCCCATTCAATAGGTTGCCTTTTAGTTTTTTTGATTGTTTACTGTACAGAAGCTTTTCATTTTGATGTAGTCCCAATAGTTTGTTTTTATTTCCCTTACCTCAGGAGACCTATCTAGACAAATGTAGCTATGGCCAGTGTCAGAGAAATTACTGCCTGGGATCTCTTCTAGGACTTCTATGGTTTCAGATCTTACATTTAGGTCTTTAATCCATTTTGAATTTATTATTGCGTATGGTGTAAGAAAGTGGTCCAGTTTCATTCTTTTGCATGTAGCTGTCCAGTTTTCCTACCACCATTTGTTGAAGAGACTTTTTTTTCCCATTGTGTATTCATTTCTCCTTTGTCAAAGAATAATTGACCATATAATTGCAGGTTTATTTCTGGGTTTTCTACTTTGTTCCATTGATTTATGTGTCTGTTTTTGTGCCAGTACCATACTGTTTTGATTGCTACAGCTTTGTAGTATAGCTTGAAGTCCAGAATTGTGATGTCTCCAGCTTTGCTTTTCCCTTTAAAGATTGCTTTAGCTTTTTGGATTCTTTTGTTGTTCCCTACAAATTTTAGAATTGCTTGTCCTAGTTCTGTGAAAAATGCTGTTGGTATTTTGATAGGGATTGCATTTAATGTGTAGATTGCTTTGGGTAGTATAGACGTTTTAACAATATTTGATTTTCCAATCCATGAGCATGGAATGTCTGTCCATTTCTTTGTGTCACCTTCAATTTCTTTCATCAGTGTCTTATAGTTTTCAAAGTACAGATTTTTCACTTCTATGGTTAAGTTTATTCTTAATTATCTTACTATTTTTGGTGCAGTTATAGATGGGATCATTTTCTTAATTTCTCCTTTTTCTGCTTCATTATTAGTGTATAGAAGTGTATTTTAACTAACTAGAGCTTAAATAAAAACTTGAAACAAGAAAAAAAAAGAAATGCAACAGATTTCTGTATATTGATTTTTGTATACTGTGACTTTACTGAATTCATTTATCAGAACTAGTAGTTTTTTGATGAAGTCTTCATGGTTTTCTATATATTGTATCATGTTATCTGCAAAGAGTGAAAGTTTTACTTCTTCCTTAAAAATTTGGATGCCTTTTATTTCTTTTTGTTGTCTGATTGCTATGGCTTGGACTTCCAGTACTGTGTTGAATGAAAGTGATGAGAGTGGACATCCTTGTCTTGTTCCTGACCATATGTGAAAAGCTCTCAGTTTTTCCCTAATGAGTATGATGTTTGCTGTGGGTTTTTCATATAAGACCTTTATTATGTTAGGTTATGTTCCCTCTAAACCTGCTTTGTTGATGGTTTTTATAATGCATGATATTTTACTTTGTCAAATGCTTTTTCTGCTTCTATTGAAATGGTTTTATCCTTTCTCTTATTGATGTGATGTATCATGTTGATTAATTTTTTAAAATTGGACCACCCTTGCATCCTGAGAATAAATACCACTCGATTGTGGTAAATTTTACTGTATTGTTGGATTTGGTTTGCTAGTATTTTATTGACAACTTTTGCATCTATGTTTATCAGCGATATTGGCCTGCAATTCTATTTGGGTTTTTTTTGGGGGGGGGTGGGTTTGACTGATTTTTTATGGATATACTTTTTTGGATACACTTATTTTTTTTTTTTTGGTGCCTTTATTTGGTATTGGTATTATGGTAATGCTGGCCTCAGAATGAATTTGGAAGTTTATCTTCCTCTTCTATTTTTTGCAATAGTTTGAGAAGAAATGTTTGGTAGAATACACCTCTGAAGCTGTCTGGTACTGGACTTTTGTTGTTGGGAGTTTTTTGTTTACTGATCCAATTTCATTGCTGGTAATCAGTCTGTTCAAATTTTTTATTTCTTCCTGATTCAGTTATGGTAGGTTATGTTTCTAGGAATTTATCCATTTCTTCTAGGTTGTCCAATTTTTGGCATACAATTTTTCATAATATTTTCATTTAATTGTATTTCTGTGGTGTTGGTTGTTATTTCACCTCTTTAATTTGTGATTTTGTTTATTTGAGTCCTCCTTTTTTCTCTCTTTTTTTTTTTTGATGAGTCTGCCTGGAGTTTTATAAATTTTGTTGATCTTTTCAAAAACCAGCTTCTGGTTTCATTGGTCTATTCTACTGTTTTATTAGTTTCTCTGTCATTTATTTCTGCTTTAGTCTTTCTTCTTTCCTTCCTTCTCTTGGTTTTAAGTTTTGTTTGTTATTCTTTTTCTACCTCCTTTAAGTGTAAGGTTAGGTTTGATTCTTTTTTTTCTTGCTTCTTGACATATTGCTATAAACATCCCTCTTCAAACCATCTTTGCTGCATCCCAAATATTTGGATCCTTTTGTTTTTATTTTTATTTGTTTCCATGTAATTATTTCTTTTTTGATTTCTTGTTTGACCCATTCATTGTTCAGTAGCATATTATTTAACCTCCATGTATTTGTGGTCTTTCCAGATTTTTCTTGTGGTTGATTTCTAGTTTCATAGCATTGTGGTCAGAAAAGATATATAGCATCACTTAAATGTTTTTTAATTTCTTGAGACTTGTTTTATAGCCTAATATGTGATCTATTTTGGAAAATATTTGTGTGCACTTGACTTGAAAAGAATGTGTATTTTGCTGTTTTAGGATGGAATGTTAAGTCCGTCTAATCCAGTATGTCATTCAAAGCCACTGTTTCCTTGTTGATTTTCTGTTTTGGTGATCTGTCCACTGATGTAAGTGGAGTATTAAAGTCCCCTACTATTATTGTATTATTATCAATTAATTCCTTTAAGTTTTTTATTAACTTCTTTATGTATTTGGGTACTTCCACATTGAGTACATAAATATTTACAATTGTTATATCTTCTTGGATTGTCCCCTTTATTATTACATAGTGCCCTTCTTTGTCTCTTATTACAGTCTTTGCTTAAAAGTCTATTTTGTCTGTTACAAGTATTGCTACCCCAGCGTTCTTTTGACATCCATTTGCATGATAAATGTTTCTCCATCCCCTCACTTTTAATCTGCGTGTGTCTTTAGCTCCAAAATGAGTCTCTTGTAGACAGCATATAGATGGCTCTTATTTTTTTATCTTCTCTGTCACCATGTCTTTTTTTTTTTTTTTGGAGTGTTTAGTCCATTTGTATTCAAAGTAATTATTGATAGATATGTATATGTTGCCATTTTGTTACTTGTTTTGTGTTTGTTTTTGTGGTTTTTCCCTGATCCTTTCTTCTCTTGCTCTCTTTCATAGGTTTTACTGGTTTTTGATTTTTGGGTACCATTAGGTTTTTATATAGCATCTTCTCCATATAGCAGTGTATATTAAGTTGATGATTGCTTAAGTGGAACCCATTCTTTACTCCTCTCTCCCCAAGTTTTAGGTATATGGTGTCATATTTTATGTCTTTTTATTTTGTAAATCCCTTGACTGATTTTTGTAGATACACTTATTTTTACTGCTTTTGTGTTTTCTATTTCATACTTTCACTTATGGTCTTTCCACTCAGAGAGTCCTCCTTAATATTTCTTGTAGGGCTAGTTGATTGGTCATGACTCCTTTAGTTTTCATTGGTCTGAGAAACTCTTTGTCTCTCCTATTATTCTGAATTATAGCCTTTCTGGATAGAGTATTCTTGGCTGCAGATTTTTCCCTCTCACCACTTTGAATATATCATTTTACTCCTTCTGGCCTGCAAAGTTTTCTGCTGAAACATTTGCTGATAGCCTTATAGGATTTCCCTTGTATGTAACTGTATTCTTTTTTCTTGCTGCTTTTAAAATTCTTTCTTTATCACTACTTTTTGCCTTTT